AAAGAGTTTTTGTTAAATATCTGTTTTATTAAGAATTGAATATTTCATAAAAATTATGATTAAATAATAGATAAAAAAGTATTTGTTGTTTGGATTAAATGGAATTGAAATCATCGGTTCTGGAAGTGGTCTGAAGAGTGAAACTGCGAGAGTGTTGTCTTCGGACCACTTTGACCACAGACTGCTTCTTATACTTGTTCTCATCGCACGAGTCGGACGTATCGATTCCGGAGTCGAATTCTGTGCCATTTTGTGGCAAACTCTGGATCACTGTCTTGTCTATCGTGCCACCATTCGATGTCTTAGTGGTCCACTTGTCCTCACTTCGGGTGACAATCACTGGAGGTTTCGATTGTGTGGTGCGTTCCGTGTCGGACGTGACCACGGATTGCAATGGAAGGCACGTTATGTCTTGTGTGTCGGATGTGTCTGTTGTGGCACTTATTTCGTTGGTTTCGCTCATTTCGGTCGTCATTGCCATCCCTTTCATCCCTTTCCTCTTTTTGTCGATCTCTTCAACCGTTATATCGCAAAGAATTTGAAGGAAAGAGTCGACGCCGTCATAGCCTTTATGTTATGTATAGTAAAGTCATTAAAGGATTTCAAACATTCATTCAAATGAAATGACATTTTTGTGCATTTTTTCAAACAAACACCACATGAGACATGAGAAGAGATATCAGACCTGGGAATGCGTTCATATCAATGATGGCATAACGACCCGTCTTATTGTCAATGATGACATCGATGCCAAGCAAAGTGAGGCCCAATTTGTCGGACACCACTTTGACAATGCGGTCGAGTCTGGCCTTTTCGGGGTCACGTGTCTCACAGGTCTGATCCTTTCGGTCCAATTCGGTTAAAGCACAACAAGACGTCGGTTTGGAAATGTCGTGGCTGTCGAAGAACACGGGCTCACAATCGGTGTCTGCAATGCAAGACAATTGTCAATTTAATGTGAACACTACTCAACACTTAGTGATGACTGACCTCCGCGTTTGAAGTTCTTGAGCGACGGTCTCTCGATTACAAAGTATTGATCTTTGATTAGAAACAGTTTGAAGAGCCGGGCGTTGTGGTTGATAAAAGTCTGGGCGACACAGGGAGGGCTTATAGTCTTAAGACCCGATGTGCCAAATATTAATGACATCTGAATTATCAAATTGTCAACAATTAAGTCAATTGACTAATGGTTGCACCGGTATAGGGAGTATGGGTGCCATACCTGGTGAGCATAACTGGATCCGTGAGCCACCAGTGGTTTGCAAACTAATGCAAAATTCTTAATCAAAATACAAAAGGCTATGAAATATTGTCGACAAACCGAAAGGGAAACTGACAGACGCCGCCCTCAACTTCTGTAGGTTTTCATTCACATCACTTGTAGTCAACTCGACAAAAGTCGGGGTAAACACTCCGTCTGCCAAACAATTCAATTTCGTTAATTTTCTCATCAATCCAATCATAATCAAGTGGTTCACCTTCGCGCGCGAGTTCACTGTCATCGATCAGTTTGTACTGACGGTATCTGTCCAACAGTTTGCGTACATTCTCTAACGGATCCAAAATGACAACTTCCGGATGTTTGTCCACATAATCCTTCAATTAGTCAATAAATTAGGATTTTTTCCACAACAAAACATTTCATAGGAAAGTTAGGCCCCAATTGTAACTTTTAAGGCCCAGAGTATTGACCGCTAGATATACTGAATTCCGGGTAAAATCGGCAGTTCCTCTCCTGAATGGTGTCAACATAAGGCTATAATAAGCCGTTTTTGCACCTATTTTTACATTTTATTTCCTCGATATCCTTGAGTATTGCAATTAAGACGAAAATTCAAAAGAATGTCAGAAATGGTGTTTCATTGTGTCAATCAATACATTACAGAATTTCCTATCAATTGAATGCATTTACGCTATGGTATAGTATTTAACGTAAACAGAGATAAATTGTTATTAAATAAAGGCTAATATTAAAAAGTTAGTCAAATTTCAATAGTTGTTTATAAAATTTTGGTTTATATTCTGTAATACAGTATAATAAAAATATACTATTTCAAAAATATTTTCACACAAAACTAATTATAATGTAATTGTGAAATAGCATATCGTTGTGTAATTGTGTAGTGATATGACATATGTTTTGAGCAAAAATAATGCGTTTCTTATCAAGAATTTCATGAATATTAGTGAATAACACGACAAATATTGGACAAAACGTGTAATGAGTGAGAAGTGACCAAGTTCACTTCATTATCATTCAACAAATTATATATTTTGTAAAAACAATCTTAAGATTATTTTTAGAAAAAACATAGAAATTCTTGATTAATTGAATGGGAATTAACGCTAACTTTATGTACAGTTAGTAAACATTAAAAAAGCGATAAAATGAATGCTTAGTAAATAAATGATAAAAATTTATATTCAAATAAAACAATTCAAATGTTGATTGAATTGAATAATCATTTAGTTTATGCAAACTTAGCAGACACTGTATGCCTAATCAATAACCCATGCAATCAATTGAGTCTATAATTGGGATGAATTTGAATTGAACTGAAAATGTATGCGAATATAACTTATATGAAATGAAATGATAATTAATATACAAACGATTAATAGATAGAAATGAACGCCAAATGCGATAATATATCAGTTGTTATGTCTTCACTCGAGTTATAAGTTATAAGTAATTCATTGAATTTAAGTGAATTGCAGTTTAAGAGCCAATCAAATGTGAAACAATAGACAATTATCTATACATTACACATGTGTTTACCTCAAAGAGTTGGATCTGCTTTTGTGCCAATTTGTCCGATTGTTGGGCTCTAACCATGACATCGGCTAACTTGTGGATAATGGCCGCGAAAGGACCCTGAGGTTCGAGCGGTGCATTCAAGTCAATCTTAATCAACTGAAACCCTTGGACACGCAAGTGGTCCTCGAGTTCGGACACATTAATCTTGAGACACTTCTTGTCGGACGCCCAAAAGCCCACTTTGTTAGACATTGTGGTGATATCGGGTGGACACGACTGACGGCAATCACAATCACTGATTGATATATTGGTAGAAAAGTTGAGCACTACTTCACGCTATACTCATTGGCGTTGATATCACTGTCTATGGCTTATGACTGATGAATACAAGTATAACAATCAGTCTATTCATGGATACAATAGAAATCACTGTTAACTCACGTTTGCTTGGATTTCAATGCAATTATGCGACCAATCGGTGGCCAATCCAGCGGTCATTCAGTCATCCAAATGTTGAACCAAATGAATGGCAATTGAAATGAATGTGATTTATATAACGATATATGAATAGGGAATCAATTACAAAGAAAATGGTGTTTCAAATGAGTGTACAATTAGTAAATATTGATAAATGAGTTGATTGTATGTTAGCATTGATTTGCAGTAATATATCAATGAATTCATAGCTTTTATAGCATTGAAGGCATAAACAGTTGAGGTCTGAGGCGTGTCTTACACTCAATGCAAACCCAATGCAAAGCATTACATAAACACTGGTTTCCCGAGTATTATACCATAATATGAGATGAGAGTACAGGCACTCCAACCCTACACCTACTCATCACATCCCATCCCATCCCTCATCCCATCTCTCAATACTTTCTAAATGTTGTCAACCCTTGAATGGCGCCAAAAACTATTTGTTATGCTTTACACAAATGTATCCTGGTGCTTTTCAATCACTATTCAATTCTTTAATCATATTTATTGGGGTTTTTAATAAATTCATTTAAAAGGATAAGTTGTTTGAATGCATTGGATTTGAGTGCCATTTAGGCGTTCAGTACATCTATACTGTCAATGACAACAGCATTACGTCTAATATTGAATCAAAACACTTATTAACAATAAATCACTGTTTCATTCATTTGCAATCATGTTTTGATAACATATTTATCATACCATTAAAACTCGTCTCCTGAATCATAGATTAGGTCTAATTTCTAAGAAATTTAACTCAAAAACTTAAATTTTTATTAAATATTATTGCATATTATAACAGTAAATAAGTTGTGAACACATACGAGTTTGTCATTCAAGACATCTAAGTAAATGACAATTTATAATATAAGAATTCATATAGAATTTGTAATTAATAACTTGTTTATCATAAATGAAATCTGTTTTTGTGAAAATAAAATAGTCATATAAAATGAATCAATCTTTCCAATAGTTGTAATCTCGACAAAAAATATTAAGACTTAAAATTTAGGATCACTTTACTGGATCACTTTATTTATCAACAATAAAACATTATTAAACATCAATATTTTGCAAAAATAATTTCAATACTACAGTAGAGTGTTGCTGTACTGTATTCATACTGTATTCTAATAGTAATTATTTTTATATTTACTAGGAAGTTATGTTTGTTAAGTATATTTTTGTTAACTAAATAAAGTTGGTAGATCATACCTACTGTACCGTACTGTACAGTAAATATAGTTTCCTAGTGCAGTAATAATGATAATATTAGTTTAAATTAACATTTAACCTCCAATTAACCACTAATTCTTGTATTGATAGTTTACGTATTGAAAAGTATTTACGGTAAATAATGTATGAATTTAAAGTTTATTGCATTCATTGATGTAATACTTTAAAGTTTAAACTTTAAACCATACATTATTCCTAATACTTTAAATGTATTCATTGCTCTATCTCTACAAGAATAAGTTGTTAAATCTGACTAACATATCATCAATGCAAACCATATACTGGTAGAAATTTAATTAACTTGTTTAAGTTTTAAAAATAGCAAAGTGCACTGCATAATACTTTGATTATTCTTATTACAAGTACTCTTACACGTACATGTATAATTTTTCTTATTTATTTTAATTATGTGTTAATAAAATTACAATTTTTAATAATGATTTTATTAACAATAAACAACCCATTTACATTTAGGATTTACTTTATATTTTAAATTAACTGCTAATGAATTAATATGTTAAATGAATTAATGTCAATCCAAATTAAAATAATAGTTCACAATAAACTTTATTTATAAAGTATTTTATTGCAAAATACTGTATAAGATTAAAACATTATCAATGCCTTTGTTAAAGTTGTGGAATATAGCATATAATTGTAATTGGTCATAAAAGTGATCATAAATTGTTTTCGTAAAATTGGTGACAATTGTCAGCTGAAGGACATCTCGTTAATCAAAATACTCGTCATTAAGAAGTATTGAATAGGAGGTCGTGAACTCAAATTGGGTCGACTATATCGACATATTTTCTCAATTTATTTCAGATAATAAACTATAAATATTTGAATAGTAATTTACTATTTAATTTACTGTTATAAGTTAAAAGTGAAAGTTTATATTTCATTATACATGAATACACTTTGATAATATGTTTGAAGAGCTATGAATTGATAAAATAATTTATTGTTTAAAACGATTAGTTTATTATTAATTAATACCTGTAATAATAATAATAATCTTTTGAATATAACATATAAATAAATATTTTAAAGTAATTATTATTATTACTAATATTGGCAGTATTGCTATATTACTGTATCTGATTAATAATGATTACTCTGTATTTTAAAAATGTATTTTAAAAATAAATACATAAAATAAAATGAGTTGAGAATTGAATTCATTAGTTAATAGTTTTTTGTTACTATAATTTGATTTAAAAGTGTTTTATAAATTTATTCATTATTTAATAGTTAAATTTTTTATTGATTACAACAATTACAGATACAGTCAGAGATTAATCTTATTATTTGATTGTTTGCAAAGAGTTTCTTGGGATGGCTTCGGGAATAAAAGTTCTTATCCTTGAGAGGAATCACTACCACTACCACTCAATATAACAACAATAACTCTTATAAAGTTACAATATAATTATTATTATAAAATTCAAACATATCGGGAGTACAGTGACATTAGTGTTAGTACTCGTGAGTAATCAAGTAACTTGTGGAATGTGCTGGAAGTGGTCATGTATGGTAATAGTATGGTGTGATTCGGGAGTACTAGTCTACTGCTATACAGTACGACAATATTATTTATATGATATAATGCCTTAGAAATGGTATTTCTAGGGAACACACGACAGGCTTACATCATAACCAAATCAAATGATTCATTAAGATTGCGAAGTTTTATCAAATTAATGGCACATTTTGATTATACAAATATTGTAACTTTTTTGACAGGAAAAAGTTCAAAAGTTGAACAAAAAGTGAATAAACTATAAAATAGTTTAAATCCTTAAATCAGTTAATGATTAAAATTGTAATTACAAACTATGATACTAAATTAACTAAATTCTGTATGAAATAAAAACAATCAAGTTACTTTTATTGTTGTATAAATATCCTCTACAACCTGTTAATTGCATTAAATGTATTATTATTTCGTTCAGTGCAGTATTAATTGAATTTTGCCACAATTCGCAAGATTTAATGTGTTTGTGTAAAATTTAACGTTATATTAAATATGATATTAATAACACTTTTTATAAATGAGGTTCAAATGAATTGTCATTAAATGGGAAGTGATTGAGAATTGCATTGAATAGTGAATTGAAATTCAATAATTGAATTCAATTATTGAATAGTGAATTGAATAGTGAATTGCATTGAATAGCGAATTGAATGTGATTTGCAGTGACAGTGGAGACAGTGTTTCCATCTGTTGTTGCATTCATTCATCCATTCATTCATTTATTAAACGCTTTTTCACCGCTTTTTGTTTGATTTGCTGAAACAAGTGTTCATTACATCGACGGCTCATTTCGGATCAGATCAGCGATGGCCGCGACAGACATTAAGCCAAATCAGACCATTTATATCAATAACTTGAATGAGAAGATCAAAAAAGAGGGTAAATATGACACAAAACACTTGATTGTCATTTAGTTGACAATATTGACCATTAAATGTGTTTGTATTCAGAGCTGAAGAAGTCATTACACGCCATCTTTTCCCAGTTTGGAAACATTGTGGACATCATAGCACTGAAGACGTTGAAGATGAGGGGTCAGGCGTTTGTCATATTCAAGGAGTTGGGCAGCGCTTCGGCGGCGTTGCGGTCGATGCAGAACTTCCCCTTTTATGACAAACCTATGGTAAGTACCACTCATTGCATGTCTGCCATCGTCTCACTCATGATCTCATTGATGGTGTTATAGAGGATATCATACGCCAAGTCTGACAGTGACGTGATCTCCAAAATGAAGGGCACTTTCGTCGAGAGACCAAAACTGCCGCGAAGTGAAGAGCCGAAGAAGAAGAAGAAGGAGAAGAGAGTGAACCCATCGGGCGGTCAGAACGGGACTCAGGGGACGGGTATCCCGCACTCGGCTCTGGCAGAACAGCCGCCGAATAACATCCTATTCTTGACGAATCTGCCCGAAGAGACCAATGAGATGATGCTGCAGATGCTGTTCAATCAGTTCCCGGGCTTCAAAGAGGTGCGACTCGTGCCCGGAAGACATGACATCGCTTTCGTGGAGTTCGACAATGAGTTCCAATCGGGCGCTGCGAAGGACGCCCTCCAGGGCTTCAAAGTCACGCCAACCCATGCCATCAAAATCACGTTCGCCAAGAAGTAGACACATCCAGACACCCATCAGTCTGTCATTCATTGCATTCAATTGTATTTAAATTAATATTATTTACGTTTATATCAATTTATCCAATGATTTGTCGTTTAAATGAGAATTTAAAATAAATAAATCTTTTCAATATATTTAAACACAATTTTTACTTAAATTGAAACAAAAATAACATTAAATATTCGTTTTTCAAAGAGGTTTTTGTATCTGTTTTTATAAGTGTTGTGCGAATGGGCTTTCATTCAGTTTTTGAATTTTGTTGTTTGTTAATTTCGTAGACTTTTGAAACGTTTCATTTAAACTATTTATAAGTTATATAAAGAGATATAAAATAAAAACCAATTTTCATTTTTAAAGAGATCTTAAATTTAGTTACAATTGATTTAACATTTTTTACACAAAACAATATATTTTTCAAAACTGATTCAAACATTCAATTTACATCATAAACGTTAAGACAATAGATATTCAATGATTTTTCAATAGATATTCAATTATTTTGATATTATTTTTTAGATATTTAGAATAAAAATCTTAAATTTAAACAGATTTAGTATTTTATACAAAATACAAGTTTTGGATCAATGATTTGATTTGAATTTAGAGAATTACGATATTAATTAAAATATTACAATAACATTCAATATACGGTAATTATATTGTAGTTGAAATGTACAATACACACACTTCGGAGTCATGAATTTGATTGTATGAAACACTGGGTTTTAGTGATTATTTTTAAAAAATTATCCCAAATATGCCTTTCATTACTCCAAATATCCTAAATAAATATATATATTCTGTATTTGGAATTCCTATCAAAATTATTCCAGTGTTTCACTCAAACAGTTTCATGAGAATCGATCGTATCATCAAAAACATTCAATATTTGTTGGGATTTTCAAAAAGTATTTATATATTTATAATTAAAAACAAATAAATGGACTGATAATTATAGAAATATGTTTATTAGTAAATTGAATGTACATGAAAAACATATTTCTATAATTATTGCAAAACTCAGTACAATAAACACATTATCCAATAGATTAACACAATATAACGTTCAAAACGAAAGCATACATAAGAATAACTGGAAAGATGTTAAAATAATTAAAATTAAAAATAATCCAATAATTCTAACAACACATGTAATCGTCAGATATTGTTTGGCATAATTTAAAGCAATTTTGATATAACAAAGCAATATATTTGTAATCAACGGTTGACTTAATGTTTGTTTCTGTCTTCGTGCGCTTTCTTAACGATTGCAAGTTTGGAGTTCCTGTCAGAGACGGGAAGGTCTTTGTAGGGCTGCTCTTTGGTTCCGTGAAGCATAAGAGTCCACTCCTTAATGAAACCCATTTGTGGGCTTTCGCTCTCAAATCGCACTTCAAGTCTCCAGACTCCGCGTGGATTCTCACCCCAGGTATGGGTTGTCATAAACGGCCATTTCGTGAACCCGTCGTGTCGGTCGTCATCATTGGGTCTTCGGCTCAGAATCATTGATCTGAACAAACATTTATATGTATTAGAAATCATTGTTAACGCAGAGCTTACAAATCTATTGATACAGGTATTCAACACATAGACATACCGGGTGACATACATAGACACCCACATACATAGACATACATAGACATACAAATGTAGACATACCGGGTGCCCATCGGAGAAATCAAATACAAAGTGATATCTCCTCTTCGGGTTGAATTCAGTGTGATTACAGACTGGATGTGTTCGTTATAATTGACTTCTGTATCACTTCCTTTNCAAATGTAGACATACCGGGTGCCCATCGGAGAAATCAAATACAAAGTGATATCTCCTCTTCGGGTTGAATTCAGTGTGATTACAGACTGGATGTGTTCGTTATAATTGACTTCTGTATCACTTCCTTTACAAGCATTTGTCGATATTTCCAGAAATAGACTGTTATTTGTAGGGATGGGCAGCACTTGGTTGACAGAGCCGGCCTCGCAATGAAACCTCGGGGGAACTGATTTCCATAGTTTGGCCAGGGCTACCATTGCACCCGCATCCAACACCCCGTAACCAAACAAATGGTTGAACTCGAGTCCCACTCCATTCATATTCCAATTGAATCTCCTTTTGCTGTCATAAAGAGAATTTCTTTTGGAAGTCAAGACTGACAGGTGCTGTATGTCTCTCCACGTTAGGTTTGGACTGTTATATAAGAATCGTTGAATTAATTTATGAATTCTAGTGAAACCCCTAACAGACATACTTAGCCTCTAATGCGAGAGCAAAAACACCGGCCGCTTCGGGAGCGGCGGCTGAGGTTCCCGAATGGGTTTTCGTACACTTGCCGTACAAATCAGTTGTCGCCTATAGTCATGAGTTTCGTAATTATTAGACTTTAATTCACAATCGTTTTTAAGTATAGAGTAAATATGAAAATCAATGCCTACCACTCCTGTGTGGGGGTCTTTGGCACCGTTACTAAAAGTTGAGGCCAATGTACTGGAACAGGACTCGTCGTAGTGGGCATTCTGTCCGTCATTTATCGCAGAATTAATAGATATGGTCCACATTGAAGCCGCATAACCATCACAATTGCAGTCATCATCCTCTCCCCCATCACCAGAAGCCCACACATATATATTTCCTAAACCTCTTCGACCCTAAAATGTTTGAAAATTTAATAAATTTGTCAAATATTAAGGTTATAATACAGACCTCATTGACTCCGCGCACAATGGCTCTCATGGTTGCATTTCTGGGGCCGTCGACTGTCTTTCCGTCATCAGTGGGACCCCAACTGGCGCTGTAAATGTCGATAAGGTCGGGCTCGTGACCCATAGAATTGGCTTCAATGAGGTCAGTCATGTAGGGCTGGTCTAACATCCGAATTCCGGCCACTTTTGAATCATAGGCCACTCCAACACCACAAATACCATTATCTCGTTTGGCCGCCACTTCACCCGCACAACGAGTGCCGTGACTTAAATTCAGAGTAATTTCATAAAATTACATATTAAGTGAGTTTTGTATGAAAGGACATTTGTCATTTTCAATTACCTATTAAACCAGTCGTCTGTATATCTAGGATAGGGGAAGGGGTCATTACTGCTGAAGTCATAACTAGCCCTCGCATTCTGTAATACAATTATTGATTCATATTTGAATTAAGGAGTGTTTGTTATAAACTATTATATAATAACTCACGTAATTCTCTCTAATATCCAGATGCATGTAATCGACGCCTGAATACAAATATTAATTAATGCTATGAAATAAATTGTCAAATAATCAACAGACTAACCATCGTCCATAATAGCTGTCGTCACATTTTTGCCGGTTATTCCCTGAGCCCAGGCTTTATATAACAATAATTTGCAATTAAATTTAAATTCTGGTGGTTCTACTCAAAATTTATAGATAATTACCAGCTTCAACATTAAGATCCAAACGTTTTTTGCCACCATTTTGGCCAACATTTTTCTGTAAATTAGTTATGATTAATGAATTCATTTCTTTGAAATGTGAATATATTTAATACTTACTAAATACCACTGATATTGAAAATATGGATCATTTGGTTCTTGATTTAGGGAAAGGTCTTCAGGTCCGAGCCTTAACTTATTATATCCTCTTTTAGATCTTTTAAATCCTATTTGTTGTGTTGCAAATTGTATCTATTTTCAACAAATTTAAATGTTATATTTTAAATAATGTATTCTAAATCTTTATACTATGAATATTACAGTATTATTATTAACGCTTTTTATTTCGATATTCTATTTATCTTGGTCAAATTAACGAATGAATGTTAAACATAAATCTAGATTAACTTGTTAAACATTAAATTAAATATACAGTATTATGATATTTTCTTTTAGAATTCTAACTATAAAATAATATTCTAATTATATATGATTCTTTGTTAAATATTAATTAATATAAATGTTGTTTTTAAATTTATTTAAATATAAAAATATTATGAATTTATGATGTTGTATTGTTTACAACATTACATTTACACTTTAAATATTCATTAATTCTTATTCCTGTTATGAAATATTTACCATCTGAATCAATATTTGTGTTTAATATTACATAAGCATTTTAGTTTAAGAAATAAAAAGCCATTTCTCTAAATGTTAAGAGCCTTTATAAATACAGTACATTATTATAGATCAATATTTTTATAAATTTATATTTACAAGAAGTCAACAATTTATTTTTAAAGTAAAATTTATTTTAATGTATTGTATCATGCAGTATTATATTTTATTCTATAAATTATCAACTATTTACCTGTATATTCTCATTGAAATAAAAGACAATTACAATTACACTTGTTTAAGAAAATATAGTGTATATACTAATTTTTATAAAGTTAATATTTTGTAAATTTATCCAAACTAATATAATAATAATGACATTCATAAATTCTATTGAGAAATAGGCCTATAAAAAGCATTATATTAGACAAACATATGTTAGAAATAATTCTCTATATAGTACCGCACTATAAAGATTATTAAGGAATATAATAAATAAAGCTATATAAAATATTACTGTCAATTTTAATGCGATTTAAATATATTTTTAACAAGCAATTAAACACAATTTTAAAAATTGGATTATACAATAAATAAATATTTATCAAAAGTGACAAATATTTCAAGTTAAATCAAAGTAACAAAAATTCAATGTCAATGTCAATGTCATGTCATGACATATCAAACTTAGTTATTATCTTGCTTAGTAGATGCAAATCTTTACTGTTAATTAATAAACAATTTTACTTTAAATTTACATTGCTGATTATGTCTGATGATGTGATAAATAGGAGCATGAAAATATTGTATTTGTTATAAATTACAATATTTAACAATATAGAAGATTTAGACCTTATTACTAAATTCAAAAGCAGATCTTACTATTAGTATTAATTAAAACATTTATTTGAAAGCTTGCTTAAATTAAGTAATGGTAATTAAATAAAATGAATATTATTAGCTCACCGATGGGTCAGATTTGAGTTGTCGGTGATGAGAGAGACTTCGTTTGCTTCTGGCGTGTGGTAACGCTCTGTGCATAAAATGAAACTCATTGCTGGAACCCAATACCTGTGCCATCAAGACATTCATTAGACATTATAGTAATGGAGATATACTTAAATATAATTATATTAATTCACTAATGTTTTATCTATTTTCGAACATTTATATACAATTTTTAATAGGTATAAAATTATATAAGTAAAATAATAAAGTAATTACTATATAAAACAATTTGAATGTAGAGAGTTAAAGATTCTTAATCGTTATTATTGAACAAATTAAACATTTAAATATACTGGTATTGATTTACTTATAAAATTTGAATTTACAGTATTATATTTAAATATATAAATTACTTAAGAAAAATACTGTTATTTATTAAATATAAAAATATGATTTACTACATATACTAAACACGATTTAAATGAATATTTGTGTGTATTTGATAAAATAATTATTAAGAATTATTTTAGCTAAATACAATGTGTATGTCTTAAAAATTATTAATATTAAAACATAGGTTAGATAATTCAAGATTAGATAACTGTTAGATTAGATTGAATAGATAAAACATAATGAAATAATATAGTAATATGAATGAATGAATGTGTAATGATTGATACATACGGCGCCTAAATTAATAAAACCATTTCGTTTAGCGATTTGATGAGCAATATGTTTGTCTGCGTTTCGTTTTAACCGTACGAGGAATGTATTGGTGAAGACTTCAGGAGAGGATTGGGTTAAAGTTATTTCAATTATAGTAATGAAGACCAAAATTAAGACAGCATTTAATGGCCGAACGATAAGCCATTTGTCGTGACGACTGGTACTGAATGCACATATGTTTGTCCGGCTCAGGGACATGACACCAGACTGACGGCTCCACACGATGTGGTTTGGAGTGATTCGGTGGAAGGAATTGATTGAATTCCTGTATAGAAGATATTCTTCTACAATAGATTCTTCACAATAATATTTTGTCGACCATTACTTCAAAACACTTTATGAACAGAAAAGGCGTTCTTAACGCTATTCTAAACTAATGTCAGTTTATTATCGATCAGAATTTGGTGAGAAGTTGAGTACAATGTGCTGAATATACTGACGCTCTCTCTCTCTCTCTCCCATATTCTGTACGCTCTATAGTCTATAAATTCTGTAGTTCTGTAGTTCGGGTAACAGAGTTCTGACGTCAACTGAAAAGCAGAATTAAGCTCTCTCTCTCTCTCTCTCTCTCTCTCTCTCATGAGTGCACCCATAGCTCACAGACTAATGTAATGCGTGTGATATTGACAGATATAAAGCTATGGCGAGTACTGGCCTTCAAATCTAATTCATAAAAACCAACAAAACACTAATCCACAAGTTTTATGTCTTACTATTATACTACTATTCTATCAATTAGTAAAATGATTTATAATTTTTATTAAATTTTTATATTAAGATAAATTTTGATACCTTATGTTTTATTATTGTACAATTCTCAATTACACTTTTTATGATAATTTATTTGTTAAAATTTACTGATTCTAAACGTTTCCAAAACATATACCAGTACTTACAAATTTTAATATTATTATACAAGTATTTTATAATTAACTCAAAATTATCTAAATGATTCATATTAGATTTTAATTTATACAAGTGATTAATGTACAATTAAGTTATAAGATTTATGATATTTTGGAAATATTTTGATTAACTTCATACTTATTAATTACTATTCAATTTACTAGTTAGAGCATTAGTAAAAATTATAATGTTTGCCCCTTTAATGACTCTTTATTACATGACTTAACAATTACGGCAATTCAATGTCTATTTAAAAGACTACAATTCACATCAAATTAAAAGTCAAGAGTTATAGCTTTTACAATAATTGTTAAATATTAATTATTAAATCGAAAATTAAAATTTTTTAAAAATATATTATAATTCTTAACTTGAAAATTTGATTACAGTGATAATAAAGTAAAAGCTATTATTAAATAATTTAATTGAAAAATTCTTTTAAAGCAAATGTCAATCAAAATTAAACATACTATTAAAGGAAAATATTTTGTATGTAATTGAAACATTAAAAGCCATTAAATATTTAAAGGGAAACTATACTGTATATTATATTGACTGAATCATA